CTGGGCTGTAGGTTTTGGAACCAGTTAGCATGAGGGACCCTGCCCCTGCCCCATGGTAAGCGGGGAGCAGTCGACACGGGCCACACTAGGACACTCAGTAATAGGTCGTTTTTATAAGACCTTTATAACATTTCTTTGTCTCCATTGAGCCAGGACTGGAATGTCACCTAGATGTCACGCACACCAATTTAAACTAAGCAGTACAAGGTGCTTCAAGCTCGTTTTCTATATTCCATTTCCCAGGCCCAGAAGCAGCCATTTCTCGTTTTATTCGAGAAAGCTATGAGAGAACAAAGTCTGGATGTTGGGTGTATTTGTTGCTGCTGGGGCATTGTTGCCTCTAGGCCTTGTCAGAAGGCAGAGCTATGAAATCTATGTGTGTGTGCTAGACCCACCTACACACTTACACACATACAGCTATAATTATGTGTATGTCTAGCCATTAAAACCAGTATTAAGCTAAACATGAGTTCTTACAGATGTCTCAGACCCTACTCCAATACCACATGGTTAAACTCTAGTCTTATCTGTAACCTCCCACTCCAAAGTGAGAAAACTGGTTCCCACCACCTTCCATCCATGTACTTATTTGGATAACCCCAGGACGCCTGTACAGCGGGTTTCAGAATGGTTAAACCCACAGCCCCATAGGAGACAGCTGCGTCAACTAGAGCACAGTGCTTCTGTGTACGTCCTTTCACATTCTAACAGTGTCTGTTCCTTTCTCAAGGTTCCAGAGCTCAGCACTTCTTTCTCCCAATCTTCTACAGAGAGTTAAAGATTTAGATTCTTTGGCCACAGTCTGCTTTCCCTCTGGAAATCCTCCGCCCTCATACTTTTCAAAAATTGGCATACGTTAAGGTCTACTTTGTGTTATAAAGTTCTATGGATTTTGACACATGGATGGTGCTGTGTATTCACTGCCACATAACTGTACAAGACAGCTTCATAGCCCTGAAGAGCTCCTGGGCTCCACTTAGCTACCCGAAACCTCCCCGAAGCCCCTGGGAACCACTCAGCTGTTGTCCATCTCTACAGCTTTGTTTTTCAAAATGTTACAGAAATGGGAGTTTTTCTCAAACCGGATTCTCTTTTTTAGCATATGTGGTA